CATTCTCCATCCATATTCTATCTAGCTTGAATTTGAGAGCCTTGAAAGTGCCGGTGATTGAGCTAGATACTATTTCCACTTCGAAATCCATTGTTTAACCGAGATTGAGTTCCAATAAAAATAATATATAAATAATTATTACAGAAAGCACATATATATAAAATAATTATATTATTAAATCAAATAATTATTATAATTCATAACTTATGTTATAAAAAAAAATATTGAACATTCATTCATATAATATTTAATACGATTGTTTTATATTCCAAATATATTTTTTGGTAAAACATATATATAATACAAAAGCATATAAACGTGTTTTCCTATAATATATCTTCGTTATATTAATATATAATATATAATTTTAAAATGGAATGTACCAACTCCGCGTAATAGGCATGATCAATTTATATATTCGCGATGCAATCAACTGTTCTGACAGATTTTCAATTTCCAATTTTCAATCAGCATTTGATTAATACATGTTCAAACGAAATATATTATTCAATACGCTTGCATCTATATATTTTTTAACGCATAGGACAGCTTGTAGTTATGTTAGTGAACCTCCAACACCAGTTGAAACCTTAACATGCAAAATGGTGGTTTGGAAGCGTTTTTCATTTAATAAATAGTACAATTTAGAAAAATGTAAATTTATGCACGTACTTATTATTAAAAAATTCCGGTAACAAAGACAAGTTTGCATCCAAACCACCCTATATATGACTTATTAATAACCATTACAATTTACACAACATATATTGATATTGATAGACATATCTATAACTGTAGATACGACGAGGCTTGCACATTGTGTCAATGATATCTTCAAAAAACAACATAATAATCATTTCAACATTTTTTAATCATTTATTTTAGTTTCCAAATTTATACTCCTATATTCCTTTATTCTCAATTATATATATTCTTTGTATTTGAATAGTTATTCATAAGCTCTCCACTATTGTATCAATAGAGAAAATAATTTTATTTCAGCTGTATACTATGAAACTTTATTCCATACCTATATATTCCATATCCTGGTCTTTGAAAGTATTTATATATAATATTCTATAAATCCATATTCTGTATTTGTTGTATTGCTTTAATCTTCAAAAATTAACCTTTATTGGTTGCATCAATACCAATTGTTTTTATTTCACGAAATTATAACAATTTCTAAATAGTTTCAAAATTTATATGTAAAAAATTCGCAGACTTTGACGATTGCCAAGATGCGTAAGCCGAGAACAAATACGTCACACAACCCTCAAGGATGTGACAAAGTAAAAACAGGTATGTTCTAATCCCAAATATTACTCCCTTATCAAACTGACAACTTATGTTCTCAAAGTTATTATAAATAACTATTATTCTAAATCAATTTTTCTATTTAAAAATTATAGGTTCTTATGGGAATAATATTGAACATCGTCCATGGCTTGCTGATAAGTATCTCTCAAACATTAATTCAGTAAAAGAAATCACCGACATGACGGAGAGAAATGGTAAACGTATATTATCTTTGTATATACCAATATATATTTTATTTTACAAATACAAAATTATTGTGTATTACAATCCATTTATATATAAAAAATAATATGTTGGACCTATTTATTACATGCTTTTTAAACACGCTTTGATTAAAAATATTAAACTAAATTTTACAGTACAATGTGCAAAGAGACGAAGTGAGTAGTTGGTCGATTATTAAGGTTTTGGGAAGCTCGAAATATCAAAAAATGTGGTGAGCTCATGAGTCTCGATTTTTTACTCATCGATGAAAAGGTATACCGAATTACATATACTATTTCTGCTATTTTATTTGTTTATTGTGATCACAAAAGTCATTGTTTAATTTACTTAAAATATTCTTATCTTTGTGTTTTTTTTCCTCACCTACAGTCTACCGTTATTCAAGGATCAATAAGCCGGCAGCGTTTGAGTGACTACAAAGATATATTACGTGAAGGAGCTCTTTATGTTCTAACTGATTTTGACGTTGTTAGGTCTAACGAATTGTTCAAGCTAACCGATTTCACGTTAGCTATTCGCTTTAAGGATAAAACAAATATTTTAGAAGTTGAAGACATCGCTAATGAAATACCTAAAGAGTTTTTTAGGTTTCGCGATTACGATGAATTGATTGCTTTGGCTAATAGCAATGAAGAATTACCGGGTGAATTGATATTTTATCTTATGTGACTATGTTTCATTTTTTGGATTTTCTTAAATTATTTATTGTCCGATAGTAATCTTTTGGTTTTATTAACTCGTAGATGTTATTGGTCGAGTCCGAAGTATCAAAGATACTAATAATGAACATTCGTTGTCCAAGCAAAGAATTGTGTTAGATCTACAAATGGCAAGGTATATATATATTTACATGGTTGTATCTTCCAATATTATAATATTCTTCGAACATGTGTTATATTATATGTGGTATTTTAATTTTTTCTTTTTCGTTATGTTTCATGTTCTTGTAGTGCCAAAGACATTCGAGTCACTGCATGGGATGCGAAAGCTGATGATCTTCGTGTGAAATTGGAGAAAACAACTATTCAACCAACTGTGATTTTAGTCACTAATATAAATCCAAAATTGGTCGGAGGTAATATTTCATAAGCCCCCAATTTAACGGGGTTTTTTTTCCCTATCATGATGTTACGCATTATTATTAGGAGTGAATGTGTCATGGGGTTGTGGTATGGTATGATTACATATTTTGGAATTTTCCTACGGTGACAATATATATAAGAGGTATGTGTTTTTCACAAATTTTAATTTCAACAGTTTTTCCACTTTAATCATGTCAGGTAAAGAAGGGAACTTTTGTGTAATTTATTTATTCGAATAATGCAATATAAGAGACAAACCTTTATCCGGTTTGGGGTACTGATTTGTAAAAAACTAATCCATGATTTAACTTTGGTTAATCATACACACGATAAATTTAGAGTTTTTATCGCTTATGAAAAACCATTAAAAGTCTAATAAATCTTTTTCATTCATATAGGAGCATTATATCTCAATACAACATCAGCTTCGAGGTTTTTCTTTGACGACGAGTCCGATGCAAGCCAAAAATTTATCAGCATGTATGTCTCTTAAATTATTTATTTGTTATCATTGTCCAATAAATTACGAAAGTATTTCATAATATTTTTACACAGGTTTAAAGACAACATCGATGTAGCACTAAAAATCGAGGAACCCGTCCATACGGTCATGAAGATGGAAACAGTTTCCATAGAAGAAATGTTTGAATTCATAACGATGTCAAAAAGTCAGGTATACTAATTTACATTGAATTTAAACATATTAGATTTTATAAAGTTTATATAACTCTTATTTTAATAATCTAAATGTACACAATTCATTCTAAAAAAATAATCATCTTCTTATCCAATTATAGGAAGCAGATTTTTTATGCAAAGCTACGGTTACTGAAGTTATGACTAAAAATGGTTGGACCTACATCGCTTGTAGTAAGTGCTCTAGAAAATTAACGAAAGTATCAACAACGTTGGTATGTAACTATTGCCACGACACAAATGCTGTTGGAGTGCTAAGGTATTTCTACAACTCTTTTCCCCTAATTGCAACATCATTATTTTATATCAATGGCTAACTAATTTTAGTTGTCAATTGATTTTGTTTTATCAGATTCCGAGTTGAGTTAGTTGTGGAAGATGGAAAAGATGTTTCGGTCTTCACTGTCTTCGATAGAGAAATGACTAAACTACTTAACATTCGTGCTTCCGAATCAATAGAAACGAATGTACGTTATTCGACATATTCCAATTCTCCGCGAATGGTTTGTTGATCTATTTTTCTAAAATCTTCTTCTAAATGCATATTATTACAATGTTTATATGTTCGATTATTTTTCCGTGATGTAAATTAGGTTACTAATATGGGTGGTGATGGAGAAAATACGGAGATACCGAAGTGTTTTGCACCTATCATCGGGAAACAACTGACATTTCAAATAAAAGTAACGCCGTATAATTTCACAGCTAAACACCATTCGTTTACCGTTTCACGGATATTTGACGATACATTAGAATCCAAAGGCGAGACACCAAAAGATACAAATGTCGCAAAGGTACTTAAAATTAAATGTTCTTTGCAAAGTTGTATCATTAACTATATGTAAAGTATGATATAAATAATTGCAGGACCATACTGGGAAAAATCCTCAAGAGTGCGGAAAACCTCAAAATGCCAAAAGCTTGGGAAAAAAACCGCGTCACAAGTAAAATTTGCATTTGGAAACAACATTTTCCTATTCAACCTTGATTGCAAAAGTGAAATTTCTGTCTTTTCCTTTCGTTTTGGATTCGTATAATTTAGTATAAGTTTCCTAAATGTTTATGTTTTTTGTTCCCAAATGTTTCTATGTTAACCACAACGACATCGAACTACTTACCTCCATAACAATTCCTCTCAAGTTCTTGGAATTAAATGGTGGGATATTGAGCACCATCAAGCGGAAACGGTTGCTGAGAACACTGCATTTAGCACCAACACAAACAATTTAAATACCATTTCCCTTAACAATATCCAACATATCAATCTACACATCTGATTTGTAAGATGGTAACTTTTCCATTATCTACCAAATCGAAGCATCGGCGTACAGGATAATTCTTTGCGTACTGAGTATGAGATAATTCTTACCAGGCTGCTTTTTACACAAGAAAGCATACTCGGATGCTATGCTAACGAAAACACCAGAAGCTCACGCAGTTAATTAAACGTCATCCACTTATCTGGTATTCTCCACAGATTCAGTATATTAGAACTCAAAACATCGGAACACGAAGCTAACCCAGGAAAAGGGAAAGTGGAACGAGAAGCTAGCCCCTCAACAAGGATCCACACATTCAAACTTCAAAGGGAATTCGAAATGGAGATATTCGTATGATGGGGTTGTAGTAGTTGACAGTTGTTTTCCATCTTCCTTCTCTGACACCTTTGATCTGACACCTTTGATGGTATCGGCAATAATTCCGTTTGAATATTTGAAGAGTGATTCTAGAAAGATATTTTGTATCCGACTGAATCAAGTCACCATCAAATTTATCCACTAAATAAGGCACACATTTCTAATGAATATTCTTCTCTTTCTCACCGTATATGCATTTTACCTGTTTTATTACTCTTTCCAATTTCTGCATTATTTCAATTTCCATACTAATCTAAATATTCTGTGATAAATACACAATAATTTATTTTAAAAGATTTTAAAAACTTAACGACCTCCTAAATTATTGCAATCAAATAAAAGACAAAATAAATTATTGATTATGAGTATATTTTATTTAATACGCTTATTATTTATAAGTACTAAAACAAAAGCATTTGTTCTCTTCTTTGTTCAAAGTTTCTCCAAACAAAATAGTAACAAACACATCGTAAACTGTTCATCACATCCGGTGGTACTAGGGGTCCTCATATCCCAAGGTTAGTTTTCAAATATAAATTAGTTTCAACTCATACTTTCATAAAAAAATAACATAAATTTTATTTACAATATTACACATATAATTTTGATAGAGGGCATATTGTATGTAAAGAATTAAATTTACATGCTTGAATTTAATGGGTTTTCCCGTTTAATAAAAGTTAAGATTCAATCTATTAAAATATTGTACTACATTAGGCCGATATAAGGTTTGTAATATAAAGTTCCATTAGGTGTTTAATATATGAACTTCTATTTTATTTATATACTTCTATTAGTGGAAAAGGTTTCAACCAAAAACAAAATATTAGGAAAATAGGCAAACTAAAATGTTCTACACTATAGATGAATACATTGAATTCATTTATCCTGATATTTAAAGTCCTCCTCTACAAAATGCATGTATCATATATACTATCTAAATCGATGTAAATAATAACCGGACAACATTCTAAGCGAACCAAATAATTTAGATACATACTACACTGTGACGCTAAAAATTACAACAAGATTTTTAAATATATACATCTAAATAATAGCAACTACTAAAGTATACCAAAATGTATCCAATGTCGAAACGAATAGACAATTCTATATTTCAACATCCACAAAAATTATATAACATATCTAATCCCTAAATCCAAGGAATCAATTATTAAAAACAAATCAAGTCTTAAATAATAACAAAGGATTTTGATTTTAAAAAAATATTATGTTGTAATTATACAAAATAAATTGTTTCATGCCAATAAAAATAATATATAAATAATTATTACAGAAAGCACATATATATAAAATAATTATATTATTAAATCAAATAATTATTATAATTCATAACTTATGTTATAAAAAAAAATATTGAACATTCATTCATATAATATTTAATACGATTGTTTTATATTCCAAATATATTTTTTGGTAAAACATATATATAATACAAAAGCATATAAACGTGTTTTCCTATAATATATCTTCGTTATATTAATATATAATATATAATTTTAAAATGGAATGTACCAACTCCGCGTAATAGGCATGATCAATTTATATATTCGCGATGCAATCAACTGTTCTGACAGATTTTCAATTTCCAATTTTCAATCAGCATTTGATTAATACATGTTGTAATATTGAACATATATTAAACATTAATTCACCGATATTGGTATATACAAAGATAATATACGTTTACCATTTCTCTCCGTCATGTCGGTGATTTCTTTTACTGAATTAATGTCGGTGAATTAATGTTTAATATATGTTCAATATTACAACATGTATTAATCAAATGCTGATTGAAAATTGGAAATTGAAAATCTGTCAGAACAGTTGATTGCATCGCGAATATATAAATTGATCATGCCTATTACGCGGAGTTGGTACATTCCATTTTAAAATTATATATTATATATTAATATAACGAAGATATATTATAGGAAAACACGTTTATATGCTTTTGTATTATATATATGTTTTACCAAAAAATATATTTGGAATATAAAACAATCGTATTAAATATTATATGAATGAATGTTCAATATTTTTTTTTATAACATAAGTTATGAATTATAATAATTATTTGATTTAATAATATAATTATTTTATATATATGTGCTTTCTGTAATAATTATTTATATATTATTTTTATTGGCATGAAACAATTTATTTTGTATAATTACAACATAATATTTTTTTAAAATCAAAATCCTTTGTTATTATTTAAGACTTGATTTGTTTTTAATAATTGATTCCTTGGATTTAGGGATTAGATATGTTATATAATTTTTGTGGATGTTGAAATATAGAATTGTCTATTCGTTTCGACATTGGATACATTTTGGTATACTTTAGTAGTTGCTATTATTTAGATGTATATATTTAAAAATCTTGTTGTAATTTTTAGCGTCACAGTGTAGTATGTATCTAAATTATTTGGTTCGCTTAGAATGTTGTCCGGTTATTATTTACATCGATTTAGATAGTATATATGATACATGCATTTTGTAGAGGAGGACTTTAAATATCAGGATAAATGAATTCAATGTATTCATCTATAGTGTAGAACATTTTAGTTTGCCTATTTTCCTAATATTTTGTTTTTGGTTGAAACCTTTTCCACTAATAGAAGTATATAAATAAAATAGAAGTTCATATATTAAACACCTAATGGAACTTTATATTACAAACCTTATATCGGCCTAATGTAGTACAATATTTTAATAGATTGAATCTTAACTTTTATTAAACGGGAAAACCCATTAAATTCAAGCATGTAAATTTAATTCTTTACATACAATATGCCCTCTATCAAAATTATATGTGTAATATTGTAAATAAAATTTATGTTATTTTTTTATGAAAGTATGAGTTGAAACTAATTTATATTTGAAAACTAACCTTGGGATATGAGGACCCCTAGTACCACCGGATGTGATGAACAGTTTACGATGTGTTTGTTACTATTTTGTTTGGAGAAACTTTGAACAAAGAAGAGAACAAATGCTTTTGTTTTAGTACTTATAAATAATAAGCGTATTAAATAAAATATACTCATAATCAATAATTTATTTTGTCTTTTATTTGATTGCAATAATTTAGGAGGTCGTTAAGTTTTTAAAATCTTTTAAAATAAATTATTGTGTATTTATCACAGAATATTTAGATTAGTATGGAAATTGAAATAATGCAGAAATTGGAAAGAGTAATAAAACAGGTAAAATGCATATACGGTGAGAAAGAGAAGAATATTCATTAGAAATGTGTGCCTTATTTAGTGGATAAATTTGATGGTGACTTGATTCAGTCGGATACAAAATATCTTTCTAGAATCACTCTTCAAATATTCAAACGGAATTATTGCCGATACCATCAAAGGTGTCAGATCAAAGGTGTCAGAGAAGGAAGATGGAAAACAACTGTCAACTACTACAACCCCATCATACGAATATCTCCATTTCGAATTCCCTTTGAAGTTTGAATGTGTGGATCCTTGTTGAGGGGCTAGCTTCTCGTTCCACTTTCCCTTTTCCTGGGTTAGCTTCGTGTTCCGATGTTTTGAGTTCTAATATACTGAATCTGTGGAGAATACCAGATAAGTGGATGACGTTTAATTAACTGCGTGAGCTTCTGGTGTTTTCGTTAGCATAGCATCCGAGTATGCTTTCTTGTGTAAAAAGCAGCCTGGTAAGAATTATCTCATACTCAGTACGCAAAGAATTATCCTGTACGCCGATGCTTCGATTTGGTAGATAATGGAAAAGTTACCATCTTACAAATCAGATGTGTAGATTGATATGTTGGATATTGTTAAGGGAAATGGTATTTAAATTGTTTGTGTTGGTGCTAAATGCAGTGTTCTCAGCAACCGTTTCCGCTTGATGGTGCTCAATATCCCACCATTTAATTCCAAGAACTTGAGAGGAATTGTTATGGAGGTAAGTAGTTCGATGTCGTTGTGGTTAACATAGAAACATTTGGGAACAAAAAACATAAACATTTAGGAAACTTATACTAAATTATACGAATCCAAAACGAAAGGAAAAGACAGAAATTTCACTTTTGCAATCAAGGTTGAATAGGAAAATGTTGTTTCCAAATGCAAATTTTACTTGTGACGCGGTTTTTTTCCCAAGCTTTTGGCATTTTGAGGTTTTCCGCACTCTTGAGGATTTTTCCCAGTATGGTCCTGCAATTATTTATATCATACTTTACATATAGTTAATGATACAACTTTGCAAAGAACATTTAATTTTAAGTACCTTTGCGACATTTGTATCTTTTGGTGTCTCGCCTTTGGATTCTAATGTATCGTCAAATATCCGTGAAACGGTAAACGAATGGTGTTTAGCTGTGAAATTATACGGCGTTACTTTTATTTGAAATGTCAGTTGTTTCCCGATGATAGGTGCAAAACACTTCGGTATCTCCGTATTTTCTCCATCACCACCCATATTAGTAACCTAATTTACATCACGGAAAAATAATCGAACATATAAACATTGTAATAATATGCATTTAGAAGAAGATTTTAGAAAAATAGATCAACAAACCATTCGCGGAGAATTGGAATATGTCGAATAACGTACATTCGTTTCTATTGATTCGGAAGCACGAATGTTAAGTAGTTTAGTCATTTCTCTATCGAAGACAGTGAAGACCGAAACATCTTTTCCATCTTCCACAACTAACTCAACTCGGAATCTGATAAAACAAAATCAATTGACAACTAAAATTAGTTAGCCATTGATATAAAATAATGATGTTGCAATTAGGGGAAAAGAGTTGTAGAAATACCTTAGCACTCCAACAGCATTTGTGTCGTGGCAATAGTTACATACCAACGTTGTTGATACTTTCGTTAATTTTCTAGAGCACTTACTACAAGCGATGTAGGTCCAACCATTTTTAGTCATAACTTCAGTAACCGTAGCTTTGCATAAAAAATCTGCTTCCTATAATTGGATAAGAAGATGATTATTTTTTTAGAATGAATTGTGTACATTTAGATTATTAAAATAAGAGTTATATAAACTTTATAAAATCTAATATGTTTAAATTCAATGTAAATTAGTATACCTGACTTTTTGACATCGTTATGAATTCAAACATTTCTTCTATGGAAACTGTTTCCATCTTCATGACCGTATGGACGGGTTCCTCGATTTTTAGTGCTACATCGATGTTGTCTTTAAACCTGTGTAAAAATATTATGAAATACTTTCGTAATTTATTGGACAATGATAACAAATAAATAATTTAAGAGACATACATGCTGATAAATTTTTGGCTTGCATCGGACTCGTCGTCAAAGAAAAACCTCGAAGCTGATGTTGTATTGAGATATAATGCTCCTATATGAATGAAAAAGATTTATTAGACTTTTAATGGTTTTTCATAAGCGATAAAAACTCTAAATTTATCGTGTGTATGATTAACCAAAGTTAAATCATGGATTAGTTTTTTACAAATCAGTACCCCAAACCGGATAAAGGTTTGTCTCTTATATTGCATTATTCGAATAAATAAATTACACAAAAGTTCCCTTCTTTACCTGACATGATTAAAGTGGAAAAACTGTTGAAATTAAAATTTGTGAAAAACACATACCTCTTATATATATTGTCACCGTAGGAAAATTCCAAAATATGTAATCATACCATACCACAACCCCATGACACATTCACTCCTAATAATAATGCGTAACATCATGATAGGGAAAAAAAACCCCGTTAAATTGGGGGCTTATGAAATATTACCTCCGACCAATTTTGGATTTATATTAGTGACTAAAATCACAGTTGGTTGAATAGTTGTTTTCTCCAATTTCACACGAAGATCATCAGCTTTCGCATCCCATGCAGTGACTCGAATGTCTTTGGCACTACAAGAACATGAAACATAACGAAAAAGAAAAAATTAAAATACCACATATAATATAACACATGTTCGAAGAATATTATAATATTGGAAGATACAACCATGTAAATATATATATACCTTGCCATTTGTAGATCTAACACAATTCTTTGCTTGGACAACGAATGTTCATTATTAGTATCTTTGATACTTCGGACTCGACCAATAACATCTACGAGTTAATAAAACCAAAAGATTACTATCGGACAATAAATAATTTAAGAAAATCCAAAAAATGAAACATAGTCACATAAGATAAAATATCAATTCACCCGGTAATTCTTCATTGCTATTAGCCAAAGCAATCAATTCATCGTAATCGCGAAACCTAAAAAACTCTTTAGGTATTTCATTAGCGATGTCTTCAACTTCTAAAATATTTGTTTTATCCTTAAAGCGAATAGCTAACGTGAAATCGGTTAGCTTGAACAATTCGTTAGACCTAACAACGTCAAAATCAGTTAGAACATAAAGAGCTCCTTCACGTAATATATCTTTGTAGTCACTCAAACGCTGCCGGCTTATTGATCCTTGAATAACGGTAGACTGTAGGTGAGGAAAAAAAACACAAAGATAAGAATATTTTAAGTAAATTAAACAATGACTTTTGTGATCACAATAAACAAATAAAATAGCAGAAATAGTATATGTAATTCGGTATACCTTTTCATCGATGAGTAAAAAATCGAGACTCATGAGCTCACCACATTTTTTGATATTTCGAGCTTCCCAAAACCTTAATAATCGACCAACTACTCACTTCGTCTCTTTGCACATTGTACTGTAAAATTTAGTTTAATATTTTTAATCAAAGCGTGTTTAAAAAGCATGTAATAAATAGGTCCAACATATTATTTTTTATATATAAATGGATTGTAATACACAATAATTTTGTATTTGTAAAATAAAATATATATTGGTATATACAAAGATAATATACGTTTACCATTTCTCTCCGTCATGTCGGTGATTTCTTTTACTGAATTAATGTTTGAGAGATACTTATCAGCAAGCCATGGACGATGTTCAATATTATCATGAGTATCTTAAAGAGAGGGCAATATTAACACCCAGAAACGAAACTGTGCATGAAGTAAATGCATTTCTCCTCTCCAAGATTCCAGGACAAACCACAGAGTATCTAAGCTCAGATAGCATTGGCATTGATAGCGCTCCTGGAACTGATTGGCAATCTTTATACCCCGTCGAATATCTGAACTCTCTAGAATTCCCTGGACTGCCGAGTCACCGACTAGATTTAAAGGTTGGAGCTCCTGTGATGATGCTAAGAAATATCAATCAAAAAGAAGGCCTTTGCAATGGGACACGGCTAATTATAACTCAGTTGGGAAAAAGAGTTTTGGAGGCAGAAATTATGACTGGCCCAAACCCTGGAAAAAAGGTCCTTATTCCAAGAATTATTCTATCACCAACAGATTCAAAACATCCATTCACATTACGAAGAAGGCAATTTCCAATAAGAATATGCTACGCAATGACAATAAATAAAAGTCAAGGGCAAAGTCTGAAAAAAGTTGCTTTATATCTCCCACGTCCGGTCTTTAGCCATGGTCAGTTGTATGTGGCTCTCTCCCGTGTCACTTCTGCAAAAGGAATAAAAATCCTAGATAACACGGAAGACAACAATGCCAACTCTGTCGTCACCAACATTGTTTACAGAGAAATCTTCAACGGTCTACCAACACCATGAGGTTAGATATAAAGAACAATAAACATATATTCACCATTTTTTCGTATGTAAAGAAGTACATGACGTAGTAGAATTGAGAAACGGGAATGTTCCATATATATATACAAACTTTTTGCAATGTACCCACGACATTACAAATTTATTACATTGTTATTTTTCTACTAATACTAATCATTATATTTGCAACAGGATCATGGAAACGCGATTTATGTGTAAGTATTTAAAATATTAAGGTCAAACCATTGATATATTCTTATGAAAGTAATTAATGAATATACTACATTATAATTTAGTTTATTATTGATCAGACTAAATCTATTGCAGGAATTCAAAGATGAAAGCCAACCAGTGATATCAACTCATGTAAGATTGGAGCAGTTGAGAAGACATGACACTTATCAGTGTATTGTGGTCAGATTTCTTCGGATATGGGATGACAACAATCCTTTCAATGGGGATGAATATATTAACACCGGCTTCTTAGTAATTGATGAAAAGGTACATTCTGCTCAGTATATTTTACTAAGTTATAGTTAACACTAATCTAATTTGTCTGAATTATAACATTGCAGGAGGATGTTGTTGAAGGAACAATATTTCATACACATGGAAAAAAATTTAACCATATAATAAACGAAGAAGACATATTCCTTATCAGCCATTTCAAAATTATATCAAATAAAAATAAATACAAGTTAACAGAAAATAACTTTCGTATTTATTTCACGGAATATACTACTGTTCAAAAGGTTGCTCCCACCACTTGTAATATTCCCAAAGAGAAATTCCGAATATGTTTATACGACGGTTTATTGGCATTGGCGGATAAAAAACAACACTTGCCAGGTATGTGTTACTATAAAAAAAACCCCATCCAAAAGGGGATTTTATATTCACTATATTATCTAATGTTGCAGATATTATCGGAGTTTTAGTTGCAGTACAAGGACCAAATTTAAGCATGGCGTCATCGACTCAGAAAATTATTCTACGTTTATTATTGAAAGAGTAAGTTCTCAACACTACATTTGAATTCATGCACAACCATTTATAAACCTTAAATAGTTTTGCACATACTAACATGTAATGTTAACATAACACACAGCAACAATATTGTCAAGCTCTCCGTATGGGACGATCTCGCAACACAACTCCGTTCACAAATGCACACATTGAATGTTCGAAAAAGTGTCATAGTCATTACTGGAGTGAATCCAAAGCTTATCGACGGTACTTAATACACACAAAGCGCTTAAAAGTAATTTATAATATGATATTTAACAACCAATATCATTGTTATGTTAAATTTACTAATATATTCTTTGCATCAGGTGTTCTGTCGCTTAGCACAACAATGTCTACAAAGATTTACACGGATGAAAAACTCAACATCATAAAAAACTTCCGTCTAAGGTAAATTAATTATATCATTCTCGATATAAAACAAACGTATAATAATTTATAAAACAAATTAACTGATTATATCAAAAATTATATTTTTGCAGGCATCGCAGAAAACCAAGAATGGAACCCAGAACAGCAACAACACATGAGTCACGTTGAATTTATGAAAGATTCATGTATCGACATCAATACACTATCATTGATTTGTTCCTACTTATAAACAAAATAACCCATCAATGCTTATTATTAAACTTTTACATTTTACATTTATTACAATAAAAAACCATGATTGCTCATTATTAAACTATTACATTATACATTTTACATATATTCCAAAACACCAAACTTCTATACTTGTGTCTAAACGTAACAAAAAAAAATATGTGGTAATTTTAGTCAAGAACAAAGCGTGTCATGCAGACCCTCAGAAACAAATATTTTAAACGTGTATTTTTAATAGACAATCTGTAAACATATTTAGTATATATTTAATAATAAACAGACAGTAAATTATTCTGGATAGCATTTACCATTTGCCACCTTGTATTATGAAACCATTCAAATTAGGCTAAAAGCTAATTGATCGGTTGACAAAACAATGTAATTACAACTTCTTCATATGTGATCTAACTCAGTAGTTTTGACATAATGATGAGACATCTCAGGATATGATCTATAGAGACGAAAGAGTATTCATACCTAAAGAAAAACTTAGTTTTTACAAACAAATAATTTAAAGAACTCAACTGAAACAAATAAATTTAAGAGCACATACCAAATTATTATTAAACATTGCACGTGAACAAACACAATCCAATAGAAGGTAATTTTAATTATAAAATCATCAATACAGAAAACGCTTAACTAATATAATTTTGCCTAAAAAGTTATAAAAACAATTTACACTAATAAAACATATATTTAATATTAATCAAAATAAAATAACCCGCGCGTCGCGCGGGTCTCTCCTAGTATATATTAAAAAAACAAAATATATCAAACCACATTCGCGGAATTATCACCGTCGTTGTCATCATTCCCTCGTCTTTGACTTCCGTCACTTGTAGAAATTAAAATAAACTTTAAAGCCAAAAAAAAAATATCAAATTCAAATTGTAGAGCGATCAAAGAGGCAAGTAATCATTATCTTTCTTTATGTATGGAAAAATTAGTAGGATTGAATCTATGGAGTTTTGGAAAAACTAAAAAATTTGACAAACAAGATTTTATATATTTATTTTTTCTAAAAATTCGGGAACTTATTTTATTGAAAAAATCAATTAAAAATCGAAAACTCTATTTTTTTAATTTACAAATACTATAAAAAATCTAAAACCAAATTTTTTTTTTTAAAATCTAAAAACCAAAAACTAAAGTAAAATATTCAAAACAAGCCAAAATCTCTATTTTGTATAAAATAAGTCACGCAAGAGGCAAATGCCATTTGAACAATAAAAGATTTTTATCACTTTTTTTGGCCATAAACCTTAAACTTTTGAGAGGAAAAAAAAGAGAGAGAGTAATAATCCGAAAACAATGCAACCCAAATATAAAAATAAAATTATTAAAAAACCTAAAGAAATTTTTATAACAAAATATGAACCCATAAAAAATGAATACCGAATAGTTTCAAATTTTGGAGAAAAAAAAATCGAAATACGGATATCAAGGCAAGACACGACGGTAGGCAAAATATGATTATAATGACTGCCACGTAGGTCAATAAAATATATCAAAAGCCATTAGAATTATATTCTTGCGTGCGAAGATAGCGATGGCTTTCTATCATTTTTTATACGTATAGAAAATTATCATTAATTTTATGAATCCGACGTCAACAGATATCTTCTCATATTTATTATTATTATTATTTTTTTGTTAAAATTAGGGGTGAGTCTTTTGGTTCTACTCCGAACCAAATAAAAAATTTCGATATTTTTTTCGAATCGTACCGTTTAAAATTTCTGAACAATATGATTTTTATAGAATCAAATTTTTCGAAACCAAACCGAATCGAACTTTATAAAACTCTCAAAAAAGAAAATCTAATATTTTTTAGCAAAAATCGAACTTGAACCGTACAGAAATCGAAATCGAACCGAATCAAATAATATATGATACTAATTTTATACAAATTTTAAAATTCTGAATAAATTATTCCAAATTCAAACCGCTAAAATTTCGATCCGAATCCCATCACGTCGATCACTAGTTAAAATCAATAGCTAACTTTATTTTATATATATATATATATATATATATAAAGGGATTACAATTATATCCTCGTGTTTCCAAAAAAAAAATTATATCCTCGTGTGCGAGATAGCGACGGATTTCTGTCGTAGTCTTGCAGAAAATTATCAATTATGTTTCACAATTTGTACTTTTAAGTTATTTTTTATGTTTTAAAATAATTATCATTCTATGTTTTTAAGATATTTTTTTACAATAATTTTCAATTTTATTCCTATCAAATTTCAATAAATTATTAATAATATTATTATTTTATCATTAAATAATAGTATATATAATTTTTTTTTCTTAAAAAATATGAAATAACTAAAACAATGATTATTTTGAAAGATACGAGTAAAAAATATGAATCCGACGTCAACAGAAATATTTTCAAATTCTACCCTTTCTTTTTTTTTATTAAATCAATAGAAATTATATATATATATAGTAAGATCTGCGAATTGGTTTTAGAAAATATTATTATTTTATGGAAAATTGTCTCACAAGCGATAAGAACAAAACATGTGGTACTGTAACAAACCGACCTAAAAATTCGCTGTCACAAATTCATTTCCAAGTAATTTTATATGTCGGTCCCACATCAAACATCATGAACCACGACTTAATTTAATTTATTTTTTTAACTCTATAAATTAATTTTTTTAATTACATAAACACAGTGTTTTTAATACAACAAACTTAGATATTTAAATCATCTTAATTTTATTTATATACATCTCCTAAACATTTTTAATTCTGGAAATTTTCTTAATTCAATTGGTTACAATTTTAAGTGATTAATATTTAGAAATTTGAGCCGTCAAGATTGGGTATTCAAATTATTTACGTAAGAGTGAATTTCCCCACACACACACACACACACACACATATATATATATATATATATATATACACACAAACTTATAATGACTGACCAGTAAAAATTATATGATACCCACCCCTTTGTAATTAGAAGGGGAATAAAAAAGACAAATGGTTATGGATGTGAACAAAATATTTATTTTAACTCATGATCAACATTTACATTTAAGAAATCATATTTATATACTTACCAAAAACAATGAAATAACTACCTACTCATTACAAAAACTGACATTACAACGAAGTCAATATCACGAAACCATATCTAGCATCAACTACTAATATAATAAACATATTTTTTAAATTTTGAATCGTCGTTTAATATGAATCATTAGAATTAAAAAAAATAAATAAAAGAAAACAGCACAAATAATTAATAAAATCTCGTCATATTCGATACGATTTTTCATGTTATTTTCTATATCCCGCTGCTGCATTACCCTTTATGATAAAATTATTTCAGTCACATTTATATTTATCGCGTTTATTGATAAAATATTGCGATAAATATAGTATCATTCTATGGAAAACTTTATTTGTACATTTTGAAAGAAACAAGGAAAAAATATATTGATATATGATTTTTTTAATTTTATTTCTTCATTTTTAAAATATATTATTAGACAATAATGAATTGGCGTACATGTGGATTAAATGTCCAGAAATTTGGATATATAATTTTAAGTCCAAATAGTTCGGATTCTAGGGTTTTAGAATCCGGTTCCAAATCAGGATTATTCATATTCGTAAGGCACAAATGATATAAGGAGACGAATCTGGAGATTAGGACGAATGGGACATTGATAATTTTGTAAATATGAACAATTCGAAAGGTATTTACATAAATTTTGGATTAACAGTTCCATATCTCACTAACCTGAACCCAAATCCAACGTCTCAATATTCTTGGGCACTTCGGTTTGAGAATTTAATTTCAAACGAACCGAACCGAACCCAAACCAGATTGAGCCAAACCAGATAACGTTCGGTTCTAATTTGGTACATTTTTTTTTATAGAACCAATAAACCGTTTTCAAATCGTACCGTACAAATACAGCATCAAACCCAACAAATACCGAATCAAAATCCGAATTATTTGGTACTCATATAACGATATCGATACTAAAACGGTAAAACCCAACTGAATTGAATTGTTTAATATTCAGTTCTAGTTTGGTACAATTTTTATAAACCGAAATACCATTCTCAAATCAAACTGTTTAAATACCGAACCGTGGTCAAGGATGAAATTAGGAGGGGGGAAAGGAGTGGTAAAGAAAAAAGGAGAGGGGGCATTGATGAGAAAAGACAAAGGAGCAGTTGAAAAGATCTGAACGTATCCATCTACCAACCTCTACCTAACAACACACACCCTTCATGTTTTTTTTTTGGTCATTTTATTTTGTCATATCGTATCTTAATTGCCCGGTCGGTCCATTTGTTATCTTTTTATTTTTATTTTTATTACCAAATGTTAATCGCCCACTTATCATCACATTCGCATCCTGTAATTACGTTACCAACTTATTATTCTCAAAAGATAAATAAGAATTTAAACCCATTAAACCATGGATGTTGGTTCATTTAAACTTTATTCATTTTTTTTAGTTCTTAAGTCTATTTTTAAATCTAAAATGCTAAGAGATTGGATGTAAATTATAGGATAAAGATAAAATGGAATATGAATGATCTTATCGGATCGGACGCATGGGGTAGGTGAAGAGCAAAATTTGGAGATTAAAGTATTGGAAATGTAAAATGGTTAATGAAATATTATACGGTGAGAGACCATTTAGAGACTGCCTTGAAAATTAATGACGAATAATGGATATAATGTTAAGTTGACCAAAACACAAAATGATTTTATTATTTATGTTGCATGTATAGATAATGACAGAGATTATGGATACGAATTTATATAACTTTTTTTACATATAATTATTTGAACAAATAAAAGTAAAAGAGATTTTAATCCAAATATTTAGCTAGAAAGACCGTATTCTTTTTATTTTTCATTTTTGTTTGTATTTAAATGAATTAATTTCTTCTTCTTTTTTACGGGGAAGAACACGATATAATGATCTATGCTTAAATTTTTAATCCAATTCACACTAATAGTTTACTAAAAGATAATAATTGAATAATAATTAATAATAATAATGTGTGTGTGTGTATATATATATACACATATATATAAGCATTTATTAAGTGTGCAAAGAGGTGTTGGTCATCATGCATGCATGTGAATGTGCAATTGCACTTAAACCTAATTAGAACATTAACGTGGATGACAAGACAATCATGTGATTAGATATTTAAATAATTGAACATAGTCATCTCATGTTTTAGTTATATGATATCCACATGGTTGTTACGGTCCAAACTTCCTTATATAGAACCATCTTTTTTAATACGCAAAACACACTTTTAATTGGATTATTTATTCGTTATAATTACCTGTTATATTTTGATACCGATATGATCATGAAATTATCTAATCTTTTAATCCAGATTATGCATTTTTTAATTTATATGTAATTATAAAATTTAATTTTATACATGTTTGAATCTGTTTTTTTTTTTAAAATATGATATCTTCTTAATATTTTATTTTTATTAAGGCCATTATTTTTTATATGGTTATAACCGTAGATTTGGCCACCTACCTTTCCAAACATGTCACATGTTCCTCTCTCTTTTCCATCTCACCACCTCCTTGATAGATATAATTAATTATTCATTTATTGAAAAATCTCATGTATCATGTATGTATGTATGTATGTATGTATGTATGTATGTATGATCTATGTTAAAATAATGTGTTACATTTACATCTCTACTTACATTTCAAATTTTGCAATCAAATGTTTATGTGTATATATGAATAGTGAACATATATTTCAGTTGCATGTGGTTCATTTACATCTCTACTTAATTATTTTTTTTTAATCGTGCAGGTTTTCTTATTTATGTAATTTATTCGATTACGTAAAAAACGTGTATCTATATATAATAAGGTGTATTATAAAATAGGATGTTTTTATGATTATTAGACGATTCGAAACCGATCTGATTGCAAAATTTGGAATTTCGTTCTTCCTTTGAAATATTCCCAATTAGGGTTATATACAAAGTCGAATCGATCCAAATGAAACAATACATGATTCTATTCATATTGAATTTTATCTAAAAATTGATTGAGTATTATTTTTTAAAATTAAAATAATTCCAAACTTAATTTGATATAAAATAGTAAAAAACAAAATTTATATGCTATTTTCCATTATATAATTAAATTCCAATTCTACAAATATTTTTGTATCAACATAATTTATATCTTATAAAAAAATAAACCGTTATGTCCGGTATCCGCCAAGACGATCCCACTTGGTTCGGCATAGATCTTTACGTTTTTACGTATTAGTAATATATTATTCAATTTAATATTTAATCATCTTCTAAAGAGTTAGCCAAATTAATAATACGCGTGTTGTAAATATACATATACATATAGTAACCAATGATTATAATAATATTAGTCAACTTAGTTAGCTTCGACAGAAGTAGAAACCATATATATATCCAAATTACTCGCATTTTTTTTATAATTAAGTTGATTTATTTTTTATGTACAAGTCTCAGAACTAATATCACTTAATTTATCCAAATGAGACAATTAATTTTAATTGAATTAAAACAAAAAGTAATACACATTCATTCAAAAAGAAACGGAATATTTATAATTGATTACATTATTAGCACACAGATATTTGCAAATTAAATCGATGAAATATTTTGACATTTTAGCAAATCTATGATGAGGACTTTTTTTTAAGCGATAAAACTAAAGAAATAAGAACAAAACTGTACCTTTTCATCACGTGAGCCAAAAGTTACGGCACGAACGAACGCTGCGACCCGGACCCGGACCCGAGAGTGAGCTCCAGATTGAGTTCCTCGAGCCCGGAATTATCATTGCTGTGGTAACAGTCGCCGTTTTGCCGGAGATCTTCGTCGGTGGTCGTGCCGCTTGTGGCGGCGCCGTTGTCGGAGGAATATTCCGTTTTGGGATTAACGGCGGCGTTATTTTTGGGGTCGGTGACGACGGCGGAAGCGTTGATCGGACGGTGGGACTGAGGGTCGATCCCACGGCTGAGAAGCTTTCGCTTGATGTGAGTGTTCCAGTAATTCTTGATCTCGTTATCTGTTCTTCCTGGTAATCTTCCGGCGATCAAAGACCATCTGAAAAATTCCCAAACGAAAAGAGAAAATCCCACGACGTTAGAAACATCGGAAATTGTTTCTCTCTCGTTTTCTTTTTCTGGGAAAGTTGAAGACTTTCTCGGGAAACAAACAGAGGAAAGGGGGAAAAAAGAACATACTTGTTTCCGAGCAAGCTGTGGAGCTTGATGATGAGCTCAACTTCCTCTTCGGTGAAGTTCCCTCTCTTGAGATCTGGTCGGAGATAATTTATCCATCTCAACCTGCAACTCTTGCCGCAACGCAGTAACCCTGTTTTAATCCCACGAAAAATCCATCAGACCCACGTTTTATTTTAAAATAAAAATCGAAACTTTTCGCCAGATCCGGAACCCAAAATACCCAAACCCATCACGAAACCCAGTTTTTTTTTTTTGTTTATTTCAGAAACGAAAACAGATCTCTCTCTCTCTCTCTCTCTCTGTGGTGCAAAGCAAACCCAGGATTCATGGCAGGCAGGTACTGGAATGGAACCCAAGATTTAATCTAAGGGGAAAACAATTGGAGAGAGGGGAAGAGAACG